GAACATAAGAGACGAACTGCATCCTTAAGATCGTCTTACTCGCTGTAGTTGGGATCAGATAGTCCTCATGAGAGGCCTGAAGCTAGGGCCGTCAGAGGAGGGGCGCAGCAGCTCACTGGCGATACCCAATATGGATCGCCCATTTAGAACTTTCAACTGCTGTCAATGTCAGGACGGGCACTCTGCCAGACCTCGGATTGTAAATCGTTGCTTTTGGATGGTTGAACAGGCAACATCTCCTTGATACGGTCGGTGGGTTTGGCTTATTTATATAATGGTGTGCGCTTGTCAAGCATGACAATGACCTGCTGTACGGGCACAGAACTTTTCGGAAGCCTAATTTCTCGGAAGATTGTGTCATTCATCTGATTACCAGCCAGAAGAGAACGCAAATGGCGCATGAGCTGTGAAAGCGTCTGGTTGTTGGGTCCAAACTATATGAACAAACCCCAAAGCACCTTGTTTGTTGATTTAGCAACACGGTGCTTTACAGCATACTTCGACCGCGACAACTGCTATCGGATCAGGAAGGCCCTTAACGTAAACGGTCCCGTCAAAAGGCAGGGATAGCACTACGTTTGAATAACGCATGCTCTAATTAATAATACAGCGTTTCGAAAATACGGCATCAATCTGCCTAAATAATACCCGCGAGCTGCTAGGTGTGAAGGTTTGTGATTTGAAGAAGAGGACACTAATTCCGGCTGAGTCTGTGGCCCATACTTTACAACCATATTGAATAGGATGGTGCCAAGAAATACAAAAACGCGTTTCCCACTTCTGTAGTTTTTGCAACCGTGAAATCTAGGAATGGAATAATAGACACAGAAAGAAAACCTAACGCTAAGTCGAGAAATTTGCGTCTCATTTACAACTAGCTACAGGAAAAATGGGTGGAGAAAGGAAAACAGTTCTCAGAAAATTTGATAGAGATCCAAAACAAATGAAACCATTCCTGGTACTATGCACAAACTGTCCTGGCAAAGATTGGCAAATTTTTTCGCAGGAATTCAGTGGAAATATACGGACTGACGAGCAACATTTTCTAAAAGTGGTTGAGACAGACGAGCACAATTAATGAGAAATAGACAACATGCAACAGCAAAAGCAGAAGATACTTCACCATAAATTGAAGATGGCTGTTTTGATTATCCTTTAGTAGGCTCAAACAAGAGCGCAGAGAAATCCAGCTAGAGAAAATAAAGGTAGAAATGAGCTCGTACAATTAACAACGAACGTCACTATAGTGCAGTCAGAACTGCCTATTTCACTAAGACCTCCAGGAAGACCGTCAATTGTCACGATGGCTCAGCATGTCAGTAGCTTAAATTAATTTTGATGAGGATTGGCGGTAAACGGGAAATGGAAACCTAATTGAGGCAGTTTTATGATAGATGTGCACCTTATTCTGCTTGACAACTTTAGGTCGATTGGCAGAGTATTCTACAGAAAGCTCTGCATAGAACGCGAGAAGGAAGAATGTAAACGGATCAGACACATTTACTTTTTACATTTAGGAATGTACTAGGCATGAATTATTTGGTCACAACCCTTTCTATACTTTTAATATTCCCCTGAACCTTCCTTAGCTTGCATTAATTTTTGCCCTTACGCGCAAATTGTTTTAATCAATCGCAGATTATGTCTTTTCACTACACGCACAAGGATTTCTTAGAGCAATTTAAGGCGACCGAGGGAACTTATAAGCTCAAGTCAGTTCTCAATCAAAAAGGTCTTTTTAATGCCTCCACTAGTGGCAGACAGCCTTCAATTAGACTTTCTTTCTGTGACAGCCGTAGCGTCTGTTGCATTAATTCGGGTCGCGATATTTACATTTATCCTGTTTCCGAATACCAGGTAAGATTGATTAGGACATGTTGATTAATATGTAGTTATTTAATGCAGTGTGGATTTATGTCTTGAATAATATACGTGCATATATTTGAGCATCCATATATTCTCGCTTCTTAGGTATACGAATCTTATGCTACTCCAGGCAAACGGAGTTTTAAAACAAGTCTGCCAGTTAGCCATGACTTCAGCGTATCGTCTCTCCTATTAATT